AGAGTCTCAAGCTAGTGCTGATCATAAGAGACATATTACATGTGATCTGAAAAGCAGCAGAGAAATAGCATTATGGTGCCCCTGTTCTAAAGAAAAATCCAAGCCCTGGACATGCTGATGGCTTTCACACACTCCCCTGATCTTGCTTCATAGGACATCATCTGGACTTGAAACTTCTTAGTTTCCACCAATGGTTTCTTCAAGTCTCAAGCCAAGCACACTTTTAGAGCATCAAGCTTTCATTGTGGGACACTGATGCTGCTAAGGCTGGAGGTAGTAAAAACACATGCAGATCCAGTTTATTCTCAAAGGCTTCAATCCTTCATGGGTTCTGGGTTATCTTCATAGTCCTGATCTGTTCTTTCTCTCCTCTACCACCAGAGTTCCACTATGGCTACCATTCTAGGGGGTCCTTAATGAGGTTCAGGCTCAAAACACGAATCAAATCAAATATAGTGACAAACATTGTGGTCTCCCCTGCCACTCTCCACATGAGGTAGGATCTAAAGCAACTCTGTTTAACTTCTAAAATGAAAAAAAAAAAAAAAAGGATCTTACATATCATCTTTCCCATAGGGATTCACATATGTACCCAGATTGACTAAATGTACCTTAAGAGACTACAATTTTACCTTTAATTAACTTAAATTGAAACTGTCACATGGCTACTGGCTAGCATATTGAGCAACACATGCTTCATGCTGAATAATGAATTCTGCATTCTTTATTTTTTTAACAGTGGACACATTTCTCTGGATGAATCTTGACTTAGCCTAGGAATCAACCTGCACTTTCAAGGGGAAGAGCCTGGCTACACGAGTTCAAAGTATGGAGAGTGACAGTGTTGGTGGCAGGAAGCATCCACCAGCAGGCAGCCTAGACACCTCACATGCAAGAAAACAGATACTTTGTGGACTGTCACCAAAAACATCCACTAAATTCCATCACTCCATTTTTCAGTGATTTCTGTTTTCTAGAGGGAAGTGATGTGATGTTTGTCTGCAGGTCACAGATGGTGTTCATAGAACTCTCTTTAAAAAATTATTTAGACATGCAAAGAAATCATGAAGTAAAGATGTGTTTTGAAATATGTAGATAATGCAAATAGAACTATGCAAGCATTGGTGTTAGCTTCCTCCATGTAGTTCGTGTAGTTCTCCTCTTCCTTCATGTTTATCTTTGCTTCCCGTGAGAAATGACCAACAGTAAGTATCTTGCCTTCTAAAGCCCTTGAGTTACAGATATATAAAGAAAAACCATGAATTTCAGATTTCAAGTACTATTAGTAGAGTTCTTCAAAGAAATAGAACAAATAGTTTTTGTGTCTCTGTGTATGTGTGTTCTGTATACACCATCGTATGATACATGGTTTTTGTCAGTACAAAACTACAAAAGTGCCTAGTTACAACCTTTTCAGACTATACCCAAGCCATAAACTTACACATAGCTCTCTATGTGTGTCTACTTGTAAAGCTGATGTTGTAGTTGGAAGAGTTCTCAAAACTGAAGAGTGGGGTGTTCAGATTCTAGTCAGCCTGAAGGTCTGAGATCAAAAATTCAAAGGGTAAATCAATGCCCCAGATGAGGCTGGGAATCTTGCTTCTTCTATGTTTCTAGTTCTGTTCAGTTGCCTCTGAACAGAGCAGATGAGGCCCACCCTCACTGGAGCAGATATTGGTGCTAGTCAATCCACAGGTGTGGTTACTAAATTCTTTTAGAAAACCCTCTCAGATATGCTCAGACTGTCTAATCAGCTCCTGAGCACCCCATGCTTGGTTAAGTTGACACAAAAATACTAATTACATGGTGTTCCCCAAATACAGTGGCCTCCTAAACAGGAACTGAAAATTAGCAAAGCTTTATGGCTCAATTCTAGAAATGAGGGTGTTAGTATGTTTTCTGTTAAGGAATTATATACTGTGGATAAACTGTAATTGAACTGAGATGCTGACATGTCAGTTAGAGACAGTGACTTTTAACTACCAGATGAGACTTCCATTTACTGGACCCAATCTGATGGCCTAGCTGATGAAACAGGGATGGCAAATTAATCATCCGGCCATACTTCTGAAACACATAACGCAGTTGAGCTGCTACCTCTCCGTGCCCAATCCTGGAATCAAACACACAAGAAAAATGGTAACTTGAGTATGTAGCAACTGACAGCATGCAGCCCAGTATGGTAACTGGTAAGATACAAGCTTCCAAGAACTGGAAGATCCAGCTCTGCACTTTTTGTGACAAATCCACCCATAAGTAGGGATTACTCACTGACACCCAAAGCCACATATACTGGAGAAAACCTTCCCTCGCACCTGAGATCAGGGAATTCCCTGCTCAATGTTTGTTTTAACCTCATTTCCCAGCTTTCTACTAGCTTCTTTCCCCAGGTTTATCCAAGGCTGCCCCACATGCATGAGTGTATACCTTAGGGTTTGAGGGACTTCCTTTGAGGAAACGATGTGAACAGAGCTTGGTCATCAGAAACTAGATTGTTCACACACCTCTGTGAGAATCTTCTCACAGTGTACAGCTGAATTGGGATGGAGACAACCAAGTTAAAGGCAAAGTCTGGGATAAGGATCTCGAATTGTTCTCGGGCATCCACTAAACTCAGCCAAGTCCTGCCACCATGTACTTATCTAGTGAAAATGTACAGACAAATATATAGAAATAGGTTTTGATTGTAAATGGATTATGAAAACAGAAAGTATGTAAAAGCATTTGGAAAATAAACACAGTGAAAAAAACTGCAGCAGAATCATGCTGCTTCTTCTCATTCACCCAACTGCTTGGGATAAGATGAGACAAGATTGAGATGGACACTAGGCCACTTTGGGTGGCTGGGTTGAGGGTACTATTGGCCTGCAGTTTACAGCCTAAAAGAAAACTCCCTCCATGCCCTATGAAGTTTAGCAACAGAGTGAATAGCTGCTGCTGTGCAAATAAGTTCTGCTTGCCTTATGAAAGACACATCTAGGTGGAGGGAGCCATTATGGGGTTAGAAAGAAACTTGATGCTAGGGAAACTCCCAGGAACCCACAAGGATAACCCCAGCTAAGACTCCTAGCAATAGTGGAGAGGGTGCCTGAAGGGGCCCTCTCCTGTAATCAGATTGGTGACTACCCTAATTGTCATCAGAAAGCCTTCATTCAGTAACTGATGAAAGCAGATGCAGAGATCCACAGCCAAGCACCGGGCCAAGCTCCTAGAGTCCCGAGAGAGTGAAAGGATTATATGAGTAAGTGTGTGGGGGGGGGGTGTTAGTCAAGATCATGATGAGAAAACCAACAGAGACAGCTGACCTAAGCTAGTAGGAGCTCATGTCCTCTAGACTGACAGCTGGGGAACCTGCATGGGACCAAACTAGGTCCTCTGAATGTGGGTGACAGTTGTTTGTGGGACTCCTAGCAGTGAGACTAGAATTTATCCCTGATGTATGTACTGGATTTTTGGAGCCCATTCCCTATGGTGGAATACCTTGCTCAGCCTTGATGAACAGGGGAAGGTCTTGGTCCTGCCTCAACTGGATCTGCTGCCAGGCTTAGCTGACTCCTATGGGAGGCTTTACCCTCTCTGAAGAGTTGATTGGAAGGTGCAGAGGAGGTGAGGGGGAGCCAGAGGAGGGAGGGAGGGGGAACTGTGGTTGGTATGTAAAATGAAAAAAATAAAAATCTGCTTTCCTTATTTTGTTAGAAAACCCCCTCTCTGTCTTCCAGTTCCCAGGCCAGATCATGGCTGCTAAGTCACAGGAAGCAAGGTGTGCTCTGCAAGTAATGTTTCCTTTGATTTTTGTCTTTACCAGGCTCATGTGCAAGCCTTTCTCAAAGCAGACTATTTTCTCTCATGAAATACACTCTTTCAAATAGTATATAATTACTTACATTGCCTGACAAGCTAGATTTGAAAAATCTCAAAACATCCATCCATTTTCACTACTCTGTAACTATGACAACAGATACCAAGTGACTGTTTGTGTCAGCTCCATTGTGAAACTGGCCAATTACCAGCACACTCCCAGGAATGGTTCTTTCCAATAAGCCCTTATGGTTAACTGGCTGTGAAAAGATGAATGAACACAGCTAAACAACATATCAACAGTTTCTTCAAGACTGAGCCTTGAGTAGAGAGCATTAAAGTGCAGTTGTTTTCGATCTGTGGCCACAAACATGACTCTAGATGAATACAAGAACCGTTCCTGTTTTGTTTTGTTAAGGTTACTTGACCAAACTGTCATTTGTTATAATATTAGCATAGGAAAAAATGAAACACTGGTAACTGCTCTCGGTGTATGCATGGTCTCCCATTCTTTGGATGGACAGGCTTGCTTTTCCTTCCTTCCTTCCTTTCTTCCTTCCTTCTTTCCTTCCTTTCTTAGTTTTTGTCTCATCCTGGTTGAGTGTCTTCTTGGGAGTGTGTGTGTGTGTGTGTGTGTGTGTGTGTGTGTGTGTGTATGTGTGTGTGTGTGTGTGTGTGTGTGTGTTCTATCTACAGCCTCTCTCATATTGTTCTTCAAGTTTTCTTGAAGTCTCAGTTCCTCTGTTCTCTACATCTCAGAGGACTGAGTCCTCCTAACTTCAGTTTAGTGAGTTGGTTTGCTTTTCTGTTACCCACAGCCTTACTTACTAACTTACACTGGTTTCCAGCCATCTGCTAGGGCTAAAGCCTTCAGAGCAGGAGTCAGACAGCCCTGCAACTTCCATCCTGAGTACCCCACGGGAATGAAGACCCCCACAAGCCGCCACACGGTGGATGCTGGGGTCCTCTTCTAGAGCCCAGCTAGTGTGTCTCTCTCCTAGTCCCCTCTACAGCTCCCAAACAATGGAAGCTGCTGGCCTGGAAGCCACTACTAGACCCGCCCCTCGAACAGCGCGGGCGCGGCAGGGGGTGGGGGTGCTGCTCCTCTAAGCTCCGGCCGGCCCGCAGCTTCAGGGGGTGAGACGCGGGAGCCTCGAGGGTGACCTGATGCTTCAGGGAAGTGGCTCTTGGACGCGCAGGCGATAGATCCGAGAAAGGTTGCCCTTGGAGCTTGGAGCTGGAGGCCGGAAGGGAGCTCTGGATTTCGCTCCCTCCTCTTTCCCCGTCTGTGTCTGGGAGCATTGTGACCTTCAGATCCTCCTGCTGTCAGGTACCAGCCAGGAGGAGAGTGTACCTCTCTTCCAAGCCCTACACCATGCGCAATGCCTCCAATGACTCCGTGCGGATGGAGGACTGCGAGAGTCGTCAGTGGCTCCCCTCGGGCGAAAGTCCAGCTATCAGCTCGGTGATGTTCTCTGCCGGGGTTGTGGGGAACCTTATCGCGCTGGCGCTGCTGGCGCGCCGTTGGCGCGGGGACACCGGGTGCAGTGCAGGCGGCAGCAGAACCTCCATCTCCTTGTTCCACGTGCTAGTGACAGAGCTGGTGCTCACCGACCTGCTGGGGACCTGCCTTATCAGCCCAGTGGTGCTAGCTTCCTATGCGCGGAACCAGACCCTGGTGGCCTTGGCTCCCGAGAGCCGTGTTTGTACCTATTTCGCCTTCACTATGACTTTCTTCAGTCTGGCTACAATGCTCATGCTCTTCGCCATGGCCCTGGAGCGCTACCTCTCCATTGGGCACCCTTACTTCTACCAACGTCGCTTCTCGCGTCGCTGGGGCCTGGTGGTACTGCCCGCCATCTATGCGGTCTCCTTGCTCTTCTGTTCCCTGCCGCTGCTCAACTACGGGGAGTACGTCCAGTACTGTCCCGGGACATGGTGCTTTATCCGGCACGGGCGGACTGCATACCTGCAGCTGTACGCTACGGTGCTGCTGCTGCTCATCTTGGCGGTGCTCGCCTGTAACTTGAGTGTCATCCTTAATCTCTTCCGTATGCACCGTCGGAGCAAAAGAAGCCGCTGTGGATCATCCAGCGGTGCCCCTGGTGGCCCTGGGATGCGCAGGAAAGGAGAAAGAACTTCGATGGCAGAGGAGGCGGACCACCTCATTCTCCTGGCCATTATGACCATCACCTTCGCCATCTGCTCCTTGCCTTTCACAGTAAGTCACTCGTTTCTTTCCACAGCTCAGCCACAAGCAGCTTTCTCAAACTCCTTTCACCCCACCCTTTCCATGTCCGGGCACACATTGGCAACCCGAAAACAAAATGCCCTAACTTGTAAAGATCTGTTGCTTTTGCTGCTTTTCCTTTTCACCTTTACCCACTTCCTTCCGCCCCTAGCCTTTGCACATGAATGCTGTTGCTAAGTTAGCACTGCTAAGCTCTAGAGGAACTTTCTCCAAGGCCCCTTCCCTGAATTGGTAGGTAACTGAAAAAGAGGGAGTCCCTTCCATGTTAGGATGGTTGTAGCTGTTATAATCTAACCGCCAGAGCCAGTTTGCTGGCCTTAAAGCCCAGTCCCTTGGTGCTTTCATTTCTCCTGGCCAAAATGTAGTGGCCAACCCAAAGCATTCAGAGGGCCCTTGGTGTTGAAATTTACAGCCTCTTTCATTTGACTTTAGGAATTTTAAGTTAGAAAAATGTAGTTAACAGGCTCACCAGTTTACATATTAGAGTACAAGTCTGTGTGGTCATGAAAATGAGAGGAAAGGATCAACTGTCAAGTAGTGATCTTGCCATCCCTTACAGGAGACACTGTGACCTCTTACAAAATATCCTCTTGATATTGCTGTCGGGAATGCACATAGACGACCTCCGTTCCGCAGCCGTAAGCAGGAAGATACATGTAGTAACAGCTGGTATATCTCAGGAAAGCAGAGAAAAGGCTGTCTGGAGAATGGAGGCAGGCCCAGGGTAGAAGCTTGGGTGCTGCCCAGCTAAAGGGACCATTAGCTCTGAATAAAGGAGTTCTAAAATAGATCCTGAGCTCCTAAAGTCTAATGTGGAAGCAGAGTCAAAGTTGGAGCCTTCTGGCCTCTCTGGGAGCTGCAAAGGGGATATTTGCAAAAGGATGCCATGGATGGTGGCTAATGGAAGCTCTCACTTGTAGAAGCTGCAGAAACAGTTCTTTCCTGTCTCCTGCCCTTACTGATGCTTCTGATGGGTATCATCTACTCATTCTCGAGGACAGAAAGAAGTTCAGATATGAACTCCACCCCCAAGGGACCCCCCCCCATTCTCAGCCATGTTATCTTTGCTCTGCTTCCCATTACCCTCACTGTACCTCTCCTCTGTCATGGGAGAAGATGTCTGAATTGGTAAGTTATACTTAGTAGGGAATGAGATGGAGATGATCAAGGCCCCCTCTTAAATAATGAATTAGCTGTGGAAGATGGCATCTCCCTAGGCACCCCAGCAGCAAAGCTTGTGTTGTGGAATGTTGTAATTTAGAAACCAACATGGATCCTATGTTTAGCTTTATGGGGAGAGTGTTTTATGTTTGGGCCATCCTTCCCCCCCCCCTTTTTTTTTTTTTTAAATACAGAATAGCAAGATCTGTTTTCTATGTTCTTCAAAAGTGTGTCAGATCTCTAGCAAGGAGTAGTGTTCACAAGCAGAGTTGGTGGGACCCAGTCAGTTCTGCAGTGCTCTGCTGTGGAAAAAGGTGGGATTTGGGAAATCCAGAGTTAGTAATGAACTGCTAATGCCAGCCATGATCCCAGGTTATGAGCAGAGAGGGATCCTTTCTTCTAAGATGTCTGTCTATCTAGGGCCTCCAATGTTCAGAAAATAAAACTCTCAAAATGGAAAAAAACATGCCCAGCACAATGAGATTAAATCAGTTCAGCCTCGTGCATCATTACTGTGACACCCAAAAGTCTTAGGGTTCTAAGTGTTCATTTTTATATCAAATCATTACCTTCATAGTAACCTCCAAGAGGTATCCAGTTGTGCAGATGAGTCAAGTAACTTGGTCCTGAGCCCGCAGCTCAGAAAAGCGCTAAAAAACCGAGACCACTATGTATCAATAGCAATTATGTCTAAAAAAAAGTCCTCATTTCAAGAGTAACATGGGAGAAGGCCCGAGTATGGTTTCACAAGAGAACTGTCAGTGTATTATAAATATTTGAACCATCTTGTCCTTTTATGCCAACTTACTAGCTTTAAAAATAAAAAAGCATGTAAGCACTATTTTTGTTTTTGTTTTCCATGTTAGCGTAATCATGTTGCTTCATTTTCCTTCTCCACAGACCTATGAAATGCAAGCCTGGGACTGAGATTTTGGGAGATTGGCTAGTGTAAATGCTACTCTAAATTAAGAAATAATCAGATTACCCTTCACATAAAAACTTTCCTTTGATGCTCATAAAACATTTTTTGGAGATTAAAAAAGCATGTGGTGTTTAGGAAATGACATTACTTGGGCTGTCCAATATGAAATCATGCAAGAGACCAACAACATATTCCAAACTGTTTATTCACTAAATGAGTATTGTATAAATTAATAGATTCCTCCTTATGTTAATCAGCTGTTGTCACCATTTCACAGTGATAAATAGAAGCTGTTTTCTTCCCAAAATGGAACAGAACACAGGAAACATATAAGCCTTCCATTCTTGTCTCAAATACTGTTTGTGCCTCAATTTCCAACCCACATCCAGCCTCTTTCTCAGCACTTTGCTAATTGTGGTTATTTTAAACTGTTTTCCACATGCCATTAGGATAAAGTATTTATGTGTTTTATTCACTTCTGAAATTTCAAGAGCCTACCATTGGCTCACTCTAGAAATATCTTCGTCTTCACACATTCTCCAGGGTTAGAATTTCTAGGTAAATCTGATTAGTGGAAATCTGATCTTTACACTATAGAAAAATTGAAGCAAACAATCCTGGAGTCCCCTGTTCACTCCTGGCTTTCTTGTGTAAAATGTCATATAACTAGGTGGTGAAAATCTGGAATGAAATTAGCCAGGCACAAGGATATAAACTATAAAAATTCAGATAATGATGGAAGAGAAACCGAGAAATCTTTGGGTGCCCACTGAGAACTTAGTGTGTCGATATGTAAGTGGATGTCCATGAACAGCTGGAATGTCCTTTACCATAGAGACATCATTAGTGATCTGTTGGGACTGTTTAAATATACATTTCCTTTTAAGAGAATGTTCCTGTGTGTGCGCGTGTTTTTATGATGGTTTTTAAATGCAGTCCGTAAGAAGCATCATTAGAGTTTTATATCTACACTTTCAATTAGGTGGATCTTCACTGTTATTTCAGGCCAGGACTTCAGCTTTAAACAAACAAAACAAAAACAAAACCATATTATCACAGCTCTTTGAGATCAATTCCTTCTTCTTTAGCATATCAACAGCCCATTACAGTATGAACTTAAGAACAAATAGATACCATGATTCAAGAACGCAATCAACAGATCTAGAGGCTTAACTCTCAGTTAATCTACAACTTGCTCTGTTCGCTTGGCCTCTTCTGTCCTGTTTGGGTTTCTAACCACCAGTCCCCATCCAGATCTTGAACCTAAATCTACTGCACCTCTGTCACATCACTGGGGTTCACTAAACTCCATCTCTCTGACAGCATTTTGCCACCAAAATTGTTCCCTAAATTGAGAGGACTACGTACTCTGAAATTAGGACACATGTGTAACATGAAGGGCCAGAGAAAGAGAAAGAACATTTAGGGAAGGCTGAAACTTCCTGTGACAAGGGGAGTTGACTTCTGCTCCATGGGTAATATATGTGTTACTGTCTGGGGCCTTGTGTTTACTCTGCCAGACAGGGGATTAAAAGGCAGGGAGGATCTCCAGTGGAACAGGTAGCAACTGGGAAAAGTCTCAGACACAGCAGACAAAGTCAACAGGTGAAGAAAGGCATTTATTAGAGGAAAGGACCACAGTACACAGAGAGAAACACATAGCAAAGGAGGGGTGGGAAAGCTGAAGCCGACCCTCTCCTGAAAGGCAGGCTGGGGGTAAGGGTCTGTGAAGAGTCCTCCTCCCCCAGTTTAGTATTGGCAGTCTGGACAAAGAGAGGCTGATAGGTCCACAAGTTTGAGGTAAACATGCTGATCCAGCCTTAAACTCCTCTTGCTGATTCATCTGTGGGGATAGAGTAGTGGGGGAGGGACCGCCAAAAGGAGGGGCGACTAGTGGGAGAAAAAGGCAAGTCTTTAAGGTCTTTGTCTTCAGTCAGGAATATGAAGAAAAAGCTGGAAGTTTACTAACTTTATTATCTCTCCCTATGTCTACCTATCAAGAGCTCTGTATGAACACCTTCCTAGCCTTCCTCACAGATCACTCCAAAGCCGTTTGGGTAGGTGTATCCTCAGAGCCACTGTCCTGGGCTGTATCAACCCAGAGCTATAGACTTTAGCACTCTGATGTCATTGCAGTCCTGAGACAATGGCAGGTTGTGCTCATACTGGAGCCACGTCAGTGCGAAGTAGGCTTTAGTTTCTCTGTACCACAGACACGTTTGGGGAGAAAGGATTTCCTTAAAGCATGCCCACCACCACCACCATCGTCATAACAACAACAAATTAAGAGTTAATTGTGCAAAGCCTGTAGCTAAGATACCACAGCACTTTTCAGAAGGCAGATGAACACGGTAAGAGCTGCGTGCAGGTAAATGTTGATGAAAAAGAGCCCCAGGGAGAGCCAAACTGAGACTTTGACAATGGGCCACAGTTTTCCCGTCTCTAAATGCAAGAGTAATAGCCGCAGGCCTCCATGACACTCTTGAACAGAAGTGTCTGTGCATCTCCAGTTCAGGTAGTCAGTCACTTGTGAATCTCACGTGATGCTTTGTTCCAAAGGCTTTGCATGCACTGTCAGGATCCTGCCTAGGGACTGACATCAAAATTGGAGCCCCACCACTGTAGTTTGACTCCTTAGGCAAAGTAACTAGTCTTTTAAGCCTTGGCTTCCTTCTCTCTGAAATGAGCCTGCACTCCTGTATGGAGGTTATTAGAACCCCTGAAGCCCATGTCTTAGCCAGGACTGAATACATCAAAGAAGCAAGGCAACTGAATGTTTTAAATCTCACCTAGGGATTTCATTAATGAGTCAAGTGAAGTGCTCATTCACTCTAGAATTCTGAACCCACTCCGTGTTGGGTTAAAGATGGGAGAATAGTTTCATGATAACCCCTGGCCACTGCCAAGATGAAGCTTCCCATGGGTGGCTGCCTCAGACATGGCTAAAATAGGAGATTCCTGACTGTGTCCCATCTGTGCCACTCAGATATTTATTATAGCTCTGTAGTCTTTACAAAATCTGGAGCAGGGTGTCAAGCAATGAACTCACTGGACACATTAGACTAGCACCTGGCATTTTTCTCATAGCAAGTATATTGGTAGTACATGCCAGAAGGCACATGCATTCCTACCAACCTCTGAATTTAAATTCTAGAACATCACCAAAGCATTACTCATTAATTCCTGTGTCTCCCACATGTTAGCTGTTTTTTTTTTTTTTGTTTGTTTGTTTTTTTAACAACTGAGGATCAGCCACAGAGAGGGAGGAAGAGCCAATGCATGAAGATCCACACTTGGAGTTTGGAGGCAAGTCATGGTAATGGATACTGTTTTTACATTAAGGTCAGTCAAGTACATTTCCAAGAGGAAATTTGTGAGAAATCCAGGCAGAACCAATATGCAGAGCCAGTCAGAATGCACAAGAAGGCAAGGGATGGTAGGGTCTGAGCCACAACCTTTATTGGGGCTTCTGCAGGAAAGGCATGTCAAGGCGAAAGGATTGGCAAGCTTGGGTAATTGTGACAGGCCATCAGCTACAAGGAGCCCTTGGTTGCCTGGTAACAGGACCCTGGATCCTTAAGGAAAATATTACTATGAGTTGTGTGGTCTATAGAGGAGGTGTATCTTAGGACTGGTCAGTAATGTGTGTAGCAAAGACATACTCCCCCTGGAACCCTTGTTGATTGCAATAATTACCCATCCCAATGAGGGGCTTTTAGATATCTAAACCTCATAATAGGTTTGGGAATGTAGCTCAGTTTGTTTGACAAGTACATGTGTGTGAGACCCTTGGTTCAAGTGCCAGCACCATAAAGCATAAAAAAATTACATCATAAAATATCATGATGTATAAAGATTATAACTGTAATAGTTACATGACAGTGTTAAATGTACTTAGTATCACTAAATTGTGCACTTGGAAGTGCTAAAAATGGTGCATTTTATGTTATGTGGATTTCACCACAACTTAAAAAGAAAAAGAAAAAGAAACAAACAAAAAGCCATTGGCTCCACAATGCAGAAGAGCAGAAGTGGCATTCCAGTCATACAAAAGTGGCATTTTAGTCATACCCTGAGGACTGTAGGGGAAATGGAGGCAGAAGATGTACCCTACATCAAGAGCGTTGAAGGTGTCTGATGTTGGCCTTTCTTCTAAATGTAAGAGAATTGAATCATCTCCTTCGGAGTACTGGCTAGTTTCTGAAATGCATATTTTAAGCAATTCTAAAACTTACATACCAGAGTGTACAAAAAGGAAAAGAAGCTCAGAGTTGTTGCGGCGTTACCATGGCTCACTTTCACTTCTCATTACCCTGGCACACTCTACAAAGTCAGCAACTACGACAGAGTTTGTTCTGTACTGGAAACCTGACTCATCTTCATGAGTGGAGCTGGTGATGAGGGTATTGAGTCCTATCCACACTGCTTGCCTTGCATGCCCAGCTCAACATTGTTCTCCACTAAACTAGATCAGAGGCAGCTATGAGTCTTTCTACAACAGAGTGCTATTAATTGTGCATGCAGTGTGTGTGTGTGTGTGTGTGTGTGTGTGTGTGTGTGTGATGTATCTTAATTGATTAGAATTAAGTACACTATTCCTGTGTTTCTGCCTCCCAGCTGATGTCTTGGACACATAATACTGAATATTTTGTATCCAAAGTAGTGTATCAGACTAGAAAACTATTGTCCCCTTGCACAGCCCCACCTAACTCTTCTCTCCAAGGTCTGAAGCCCATTATCAATTCTTAGTCTTTTTCCTTACTCATCTGCCAACTCTTCTCTCCATTCCTCATGCCAAGACTCTCTGGCATAAACACCTCTGGCTGCCAAACCTTCCCGCTATTGCCCTAACATAAACAACCCGAAGATGACTGCTTTTCTCTCTCTCCCTACACTTTGGTACATCTAGTTCCCAGATGTTGCAGAGTTAAGTACCGGGGAAAAGGGAAGGAATGAGTTATTTTGGGAAAAGAGTGTTAGGGAAGAAGTGGATGGCTTCCCTTAGCCAGACTAAGCCAGAGGATTCCTGGAGCATTAAGAATTATGTGTTAGTGAGATGATGAGGTGTGATCCACATTCGATCTCCTCTTTGTAGGCTGGAATGAAGAGGTATGGCTACCAAGAATGTAGCAATCTGACCAATCTATGCCAATCTGACCAAACTGCTGCTTTGAGTCAGATGAGAGCACCAATACCGGTTTGAAAATGCTTATCCATGTATGAGAATGCAGCTGTCCACTTTCTAGAGTTCAGGACATCATCCTGAAGGTTCCTGCTGTAACACCGCCCTGGCTGTAACACGCAATGAGCGCTGCACCAGCAATATAAGTCTTGGATTTGTACCCTTACTAGAACACTAAACAGCCTTCAGCTCATGGCAAGTGACCTAACTCTTCAGGGCTTCTGTGTTCTCACTAGTGAATTGAGGTCACAACTCACTTACTTTGTAGAGCACGTATTACAGGAGCACTGCTGAAGCAGCTAACATGTTTCTTCCTATGACTCTGTGTAGTCGGTATGATATCAAACTTACAGCTTCACAGCTCCTTGTCCATGATAGATATCAGAGACACAGACAGAGTTAAATTCAAGCCAAAGCAGTGGGATATTCAGAGCCAGCTCGCCAACTGACGTGCTCCATCGCTGTCCCTTGCGGAGTCATGATGGTCACATTAGGCCAGATATTTGGAAATGTCACATGTTATTCTTAACATTCCTGGGACTCACTTCCTCATCTGCTACAGTTTCCATAGGACTAGGAAGAAAGCAGGTTCATGACCTGGTGTGTTTCACAACACACATTTGGGGCTATTGACAAATAGGAGCTACAAATATTATCATCATTACTGCTGATGTTATTAAAATATTCTATTTGGCAAAGTACAGTGGCTTACACCTGAAATCCTACCTGGGAAGGTATAGACAAGTCATGTCATTGAAGTCAGTTTGGGCTGTATAATGAGACCATCTGAAGGGAAAACATATTCTATCCTAGGTGCCAAGAAAAGTTTATTAATTCCCCTCCATTCCCAATGACAAGACTAGAAAGTTTTGTGTAATACCAATGTTAATTGTAACCCTTAGAGCACTTGTTTTCATCAATTTCACAAAAAAATTATTGTTATGATTTATGTAGGAGATTTTTACCACCTGCCCTTTCATTGCCACTACCAAACAAAAACAAGGCTAACTTAAGAGATGACAGATCTAAGTCAGCTTGCTTACAATGGAGAACTAACATGGTTTTCCTCTCTGCATCTTTCAGATCTTTGCTTATATGAATGAGACCTCTTCCCGAAAGGAAAAGTTGGACCTCCAAGCTCTTAGATTTTTATCAATCAACTCTATAATTGACCCTTGGGTCTTTGCCATCCTTAGGCCACCGGTTTTGAGACTAATGCGTTCAGTCCTCTGTTTTCGGACTTCGTTGAGAACACATGGAGCTTCACAGACTTCTTGTTCTACTCAGTACAGTTCCAGCAAACAGACTGACCTTTGTGGACAGTTGTGAGGACACACTTCATGAAATCCTCTGCTAAAGACCTTAAACAGTTTCCTTGGAGAAACATACAGAGCTTCCATATAAACAAGATGAAACTGCCCTTCGAAAGCAGAGGTTTGACTGGAGATGTGAAGACAAGACCCTTCAGGGGAGGTCTCAGAAGGATGTCTAGAGCTCGAGTCATGTGGCCTTTGAGGGACAACCAGCTGTGTCTAAGACCTGGTTGATTTAAGCCTTCCTGCTGAATGACAAAGCATGTGGTTTTGTAATTTGTTTAAAACTCTACGTGGTTACTATCTCCTGTTTTAAATTTCGATGCCACTGCTGTTATAAATGCAGTGTGCAGTCAGGCCAAATGAAAACTCATTCTCTAGGCAGTCAATTCGTGCAAGCGATGAAGCAATCGAGGCAGTCACTGTTCTGTGATTGCTTAATGGACTCTTTATTTGGACCATGAAGTTGGAAGTTGTTGGTCCCTTCTACTGTAATGTTTGTGTGTGTGGAAGTCCTCTCTAGTCATGACTGAGAGGGCTGCACTGATTTGGTGGATGCCAGTTTGGTTCACCCTTCCCTTAGGAGCCTTGTCCTGTTAGGTTATTTATTCTGTCTTGTTTATTGTGGTGATTCTACAGAAGAAGACCAGAAATTTCCTTCTCAAGAAGAAATAATAAAATATTAATTCTAATGAATGCTCTTTGTTTTTTTGTCAGGGAAACTTTTTTTCACAGTTGTATCTGAAGCCAGATTTTAGAATCAAAATCCAAAATATCAAGTCCATTATTCAGGTATACTGGAATCCTTCCAGTGTTGAGACTAGGGACATGACTAAAATACACATATACTTCACAAGATGATTGATTGTGTCACAGCAAGTTCTTCTGTCTGTATTTTTATTTAAGGAACATACTTTGACTCATACTACAGAAGAAATCATGTAATTGTGAGTCATAGCTTAATGTATTTCCAAACATTTGGCATGGTGTAAACTCAGCATTAAAGTATTTCAGTGAGCGTGTACATTTTAGTCAAAGTGATGGTGTAAACACATCTGAAATGCTACAAACTAAACTATAAAACAAAACAGGGGAAAGTGGAAGTCTTCAACGTACTTACTCCCCAAGAACAGTTTGCAGTTAGCATAGACATGGTATCCTTTTTTAAATTTTATTTTATTGAGCTATACATTTTTTCCCACTCCCTTCTCTCCTCCCCTCTCCTGTTCTACCCTTCCCCTGCCCCCCACGCTTTGAATTTACACCGGAGATCTTGTCTTTTCTCCCTTCCTAGGCTAATCTATGAATATCTCTCCTAGGTTCCTCTTTGTTACCTAGGTTCTCTGGGGTTGTGGCCTGTAGGCTGGTTGTCCTTTGCTTTAAGACATGGCATCTTTTAACTGAAATGAAAGTTGGAAAAAATTGAATTAATTATTGGCAAGTTATTAAAATGTATGCTTGTTGTAAATTAAAGTTTTACCAAAAACAGTAGGGTTCTTGATATTCAAAGAGAGTTTTCAGTCATCTAACATGGTCAATCGAATAATATAACCACCTTATCTGAGGGCAGATAAAATTATAGGATGGCTGTTTTTTTTTTTAATTTAGTTGTTTCTCAAGTCTCATTGTTTACTCAAAGCTATTTTCTATATTTAGTTATCAAACTTGATGATTATTTAGAATACCTAAGCATCTCTGATACAAATTATCTGTATCAAATCAGCTCTTGTTTTTAAAAGAATAAGTAAATGATTCACATTTATATAAATTTAAGCATGGCAGACAGTTTAACAACTAAAATCTAGACAGGTATAAATAAATACACCCCCTCCACCTAATATTTCATGCCAAGAAATTACACCCAGAGAAACAATGAGGCCTGTAGTGTGATCCTCAAAAAATTACACCCAGGCAAACAATGAGGCCTGTGGTGTGATCCTGGATAAAATGCTGGTTATTTTGAATCTGAAATTTTGATTCTTTTTATCAGATGACTTCGTAAAATCTCAGAATGAAAAATTATTAACTACAGTGTAAATGGAGTTCTTCAGACCTTCAGACTTCTATGGTTAGCTAGTGGTGAGCTCCATTCTCTAACCTTCAGAAAGTCTTTATTTGTACAAGCAAGATATCATCACACTACAGTCTCTCAGGCAACACTGTACCCATGCACTCATTCAGAACAATGCCTGAAATTTTTTTTAAGTAGACATATTACTAATGAGAACAAAATGATACACTTGAGAGCTCAAAGTATCATAATGTAAGATACTAAAATTATGTATTTATTACCATTATTATGGTCAATTTTCAGCATAGCATGCATGCATTTTTGCATGTATGCATGCACAACAGGTGTGTGTGTGAGAAAAAGAGAGAGAGAGAGAGAGAGAAGGCCCACAAGTTGTTGGGAATCACCCTTCATGGGTCTTCTACTTTGTTCATTAAGGTAGGCTCTCTCAATCAAATGAATAGCTCACCAGTATGGTGAGCTTAGCTAGCCAGCTTGCTCTGGAGGTCCTCTGTCTCTTGCCAGCCCAGAAATTGTGTGGGTTCTGGGCATCCAAACTCTGATCTTCATGATTGTACAGAAGGGCTTTAGCCACTGGGCCATTTCCTAAGTTTATTAAGCCACTTATTTAAGAACTAGTCAGTCTCCAGATTCCATTTCCTTGTGTGTTTCTGCTCCTTGCTTGTTGATGACTAAGTTCTATTGCTTCATTTGCAACAATTTATACCTAGAAGAAACTGAATGCCATAACTTTACCTAACAATCATCTATTGTTCATGGCATTGCAAAAGCAACTTAGAAAAAAAAAATGATACCTAGAAGGTATGCAAACATTTCCTCTTTGGAGACCCTAATCCACCAGCCATGCTTGTGTCAGTTACTGACTCAATTTCCAGGGAGATGAGAGAAACCACATTTACTTTTATGTATTACAGGGTTCAGTTTGAGAAAAGAAAACCTGATTTTGTTTTTTGCATCCAACCATCACTGGTGTGAAAGAGGAGAAAAATGTCAAGTGAATATTCACCTGAGAATCTTAGCCTTAAGTTAAGGTGTCCTGGAATGGAACCAAGTGCTCTGTTCTGTGCTGGGTTGTCTCAAGATGATTCTGTGTGAGCCTGGTCATCTTGACAAGAAAGATCTGGGAAGTGCTGCTGTTAAATTGGAGTCTTTGCTCTCTAGAGATTTGATGGAGAACCAAATTTGCTGAAAAGTCCGTAGAAGACCCAAATGTTAAGAACTTTAGATCTAAGATGACCTTCATGCTCCAGAAACAACCACCCCAAAACATAGAACCAAGACAACCTGCAGCCAATGTTCTAGAAACTACCATCCACAAACTGCCCTGGCTTCAGGCAGTGCGGGGGTCGGGGGGGACCCATCCCACCACATGCCCAGCATCTCTTGTTAAACTTCCATACCCTCCTCTCCTGTGTCAGAGCCCTTCTGATTTGGACTCAGACAAAGAGAAACAACTCATTCTGGCTTAGAACTTGATAACTTTGAATGGCAGAGGAGAACAATTAGCTCTCACTTGGGACAAGGCTTGTTTGTTTCTCTTAGTTTAAGCCAAACCTAATGGTTTTCCAGACTTGGGAAGGGCTCCTACTTGGGCCTCCCACAGAGATGCATTTCCCTCTGCAAAAGATCATTTTCCCATTCAGGGTCATGTGCTTCTCAGCTGGAGGCCTTAGTAACACTCATTCCTCTCCCCTGGATGTCCTCTCCAAGTGTACTTGTGACAGATCACCAATCACTCACAACATCACAGTAGACTTTATAACTTAAAAAGCATTTCATTAGTGGGCAGTGGTATTGGATTCTAGGCCACCCAGAGCTACATAGTGAGACCCTACCTCAGAAACAGTCAAAACAAAGCAAAATAAAAGGCATTTGATAACCTGAAAAACTATGGGAAGCAGTGGTATTTTTAGCAACTCACAAAAGCTACAATCCCATTCACATATAGCTGCAGGCCTTGGGTCAGGTGCTGCTGTTTCCATAAAGTTCCTTTCTTGTCCTGGTAACTTATATGATTTAAAAACAATTGCAAATCTTTTTTTTTTTTTTTTTTTTTTTTTTTTTGTGGTTTTACTTACTGTGAAAATATAAGTCAGTAATGATTCAGGTCAGAAATGAAGATGCATTCAGGGATAAATGAGGAATGTCTACTGAAAGGAGTATTTACAGAGGGGTAGCAGCATAAAGGGATGGTGGAGGAGCCTTTGGAAGCCTTTCTCCCTCCTACATCTAGAGTAACAAGGGAGGAACAGTTACTGGAACCCAGGGAGACATGTAGAACATGCCATCTAATAGGAACCATGATGACCGAGAAAGGGAAACAGCTACTGCCCAGTCACAGGACAGGAAGAAATTCTTATGTCCATCCCTTCCACCAGGCAAACCAAGTTGTAGTTAGTCTACAATGTAAGAGGACCTAATCTGTGCACCCATGAAGTACAGAATGCTAGATCTAGAGGGTAAAATGAAAACTAGCCAACATGAGTAGAACAACAATTTATATTGGGAAGGTCTTCTTGCCATCTTCTACTCCAAATAGATATCCTTTAACAAGTGTAGGAAATAGAGGTCTGCCCCATTTGCATGGAAAAGCTTGAAATAACATAGATTTCCTTTCCAAAATACTTGTCCTATACTCTGTATACTGGTTTAGAACTAAAGTCATATTTTTTTAGAAAGACCACTGGAAAAAGAAAAACCTAACTGTGGGTAGGACATGTCACCCAAACCACAAGTTGGATAGGTCCACACTGCCAGATAAAGAGCATATAAAACAATTCAGCAACATATAAACCACAAAGAACCACAAAGAAACTGTCATGGAGGGACATCTGTAATCCCAATGCTAATGCTACCCAAGTTTTCTTGGAAACAAATCATACCTTAGAAGCTTCAGCAAGTAAAAGGAGTCTGAGCACACCAGTTTGCACACTGGGAGGCTAGGTATGCATGGTTAAGGGAGGTGGCTGTCACTAGTATCTTGGCTAGCATTACTATTGCTATGATGAAACTTCGTGACCAAAAGCAAATTGAGGAGGAGTTTGTTTGGCTTACACTTTCACATCAGTGTTCATCAGTGAGGGAAGTCAGGACAGGAACTCAAACAGGGCAGGAGCCTGAAGGCAGGAGCTGATGCAGAGTTCATGGAGGGGTGCTGCTCACTGGAATCCTCCCCATGACTTGCTCAGCCTTCTATCATATAGAACTGAGGGCCACCCAAGAGTGGCACCATTAAAAACGGGCTGTGCATTCCCGCATCATTCACTGGTTAAGAAAATATCCTACAGGTTTGACTACAGCCAGATCTTAGGGAAGCCTTTTCTTGAGGTCTCCTCCTCTCAGATGACTTTAGCTCATATCAAGTTGACATAAAACTAGCCAGCACAGAGGAAGGGCATCCTTCAAGTTGCCCCTATGATTATGGTTCTGATAGAAATCTAATTTGCAATCACATGACCACCAATTTTTTTTTTTTCCTGCTTGGTCCTGTATACTAGTTTAGGTTGGGGGCAGGCATTGGATTGTTAACAGAAGTTAGTCTTTCATGTTGATGACTTAGTTCTTCAGTGATATCAGAGCTCTAAGAGCTCTAACCCACAAAAGGACACTCCCTTGGAAATGGGACTCCTTGGCTCCTAGTTCAAATG